TGGAAACGGCTTGGCGACTTTCAATTGGGATCAGAGCAGAAGTAATGTCGCGGTGGATTCAGAAGATACACAAGGCTCCAGTTCGCGGGTCCATGTAAGGAAGGAGAATCGGACAAGTGGCGAACGATCCTTAAAACCAGTTCTCCAATGGTACCACCATCTTGAATATTCTTCGGCGTTCATACAGTAACATCCCCTACTGGATGTCCTGGACAACAGTACCAAGGGTTCCTGGTGACTCCAAAACACAGGTCATGGATTATCAAGCTTATCCAAACTGTCGAGATGTATTTTTAGTTATTCCCGGAGAATTCAAATTGCCATTAGTAATCCTGCTGTTATTGTTGCTGTTGTTGTTGGCAACGTTCGGCACTCTTAGTCTAGACGACCTAACCTTCGACGTTAGGGTTATTTCGTGTCTACTATAAAAAGCAGGCGTCGTTCTTGCCGTCGGGCCAAGAACGTAGAGAGAACGAACGAGAGAGAGAGAGAGAGAGTATATAAGTACTCGCTCTCTCCACAGTTACTCTCTCCTCTCCTATCCAAGATATACCTATAACTTAGTGATCCACCCAACAGGCATTTTCTTCATCGACATGCAATTCCCCAGAGCACTAGACGTACTCACTATGCACCGAGTGCACTTACGCACAATAATTCACAGCACGCATCCAATTACTTGGAATGAAAATGGCCGATAGTAGCTAATAAACCCGGTCTACAGTGTCACGAAGCAATATCTCTCAGTACTTAAAGGTTACACAGTGAGAAAGTGGATACCTGGTACCAGAATTGAAAATCGGCAACGTGTAACGTTTAACGTCGTACGGCGGAAATTCTCCAGAAAAGATTTAGGTGAACGCGAGTCTGCATACACATATAAGCGTGCAGGCCACATAGTAACTATAACTGCACCGGGGTTAGGATTAGGTTAGGTTGGATAGGTAGGTGCTGCTTCGTGACACCGTGCTCGGACTTCAGCGGCAGACCGCGTGGCAGCTCTGTGCTGCTTCGATTTATTTATACGTGCGTACGTGCGTCGTTTACGCATACGTATGAGAAGACAGAAGACACGGAGTGGGTTCGCTCCGACTCGCGGTTAAGCCGGTTCGTTGGATACGTGTATGCACATACGTGGACGTACATATGTGCACCTATCGTTTAGCCATGTATATATATATATCTGTATTCCTTTTCTCTTGGCCAGAGAACGGATTCCTCCGCGCGAGAGACGAGACACCGTGTCTGCCGTGTGGCACAAACCGACACCCTGTAAGGACATGACTTCTTGCAGGGTGAGTCCTTCGAATACCATAAACCGCCATGTTGGAAACGTTAGAGCGTCGAGATAAAAATTCCTATGGACAATATCAAAGTTATGATAAGGTTGTATTTCATCGCTGCATGGAGCCTGATGTTTCTTGCGCATTGAGTGATGCAATTTTTTTCTATAATAAGAGAGACTGCCCTGGGAGAAGATTGACGGGCGGTTGTAAGGGTTGTTGTCAAAAGAGAAAACATTTAAGATTAAAGGCGGGGAACAACTTGCAGTTTCCTCTTAGGTAGCTCGAAGGTACTGATACGTAGGTATCCTCTCAGGTTCCTCTGGTGCCTGAATGGACACCGATGACGTGGTGAAATATTAATAATGGCGTAAAGTGGAAAGCTATCCATCTTTCGGTCTCGTTGAATTTCGTAGAAGTAATTCGTCCGCGGTGATGGTAAACAGAGACCAGTCGCAAGCCGCGTCCAGTTTGGTTAGCTTCGAGGAATCTTCGGCAGAGAGAGGATCTTACCCTGGGCTGAGCTGGATTTCCAGGGAGTTCTCTTTATTTTAACTTGTCCGACGAAGGACGGATTTCGGAGATAGAGAATTACGGGGCACGAGGAGAGAAGGAAGGAAAAAAAGTAAAGCGAGAAAGAGGAAGGGAGACAGAGATAAAGAGTGTCAAACTGCTTAGAAGGAAGATGCGAAGAGCGGAGCGTAGTTTCAGAAGTAGATCCTGAAAAATGCGTCTCCGACGTCACGCTTCGAGCCTCGTTGATGGATGTCTTCGACTTGGCTTTTTCCTTGGCAAGACTGAGGTTGTCGCTGACCCCCCCTCCTAGTCCAAATCCATCCAGGAGGAACGTCGTCGATCAGCCAACGTCGTTTGACGTATTCGCAAGAATTACGAGCGCCGTAAGTCGATCCGGCACTGACGTAACGACGATCTATCCAGTCTAGGTACGTTTCGTAAAGGATTTATCATACACAGTATATTCAAGCATCCTTTCATTTGTTGACAGCGTCGCGACGCCCCAGTCAAGTGAGAGAGACGGGGGTACGAAGAGTAAAGAAACAAGTTCGTAACCGTCTAAAAGCTTGGAAAAATATCTTTGAAAAAGATGTTTTTACGGTAGGAGGCAAGGCGCGTCAGACGTCGCGACGCGTTATACACAGGAGCGACAAGAAGTATCCAATTTAAAATGCAAATTATCCGGAATTCTGAGCGTGTCCCGTAGCTGTGGCTTTGCCTACGGTCGGTGTACCAAGATCGCGAAATGTCCGCGAAATTAAAAGGTAATTTGATTCTTGCCGTCGGCGGCGATGCTTCGCTACTACGTCGCGTTTCACAGCCCCGGGTGATCCCGGAGCCTTTTTTTCTAACTGGATTTCACATCACGGCGCGTTAAGCCTTCAGAGAGATTTACTTCTCGTCTTTTTTCGTTTTACCTCCTGGCAAATGACGCCGGAAGTCTCCGGCGTCTTTGGAACGAGTGCGCGTGCGCGCACCAATCCGGTACGAATCAAAGGAACGTACCTAAATGAATAAGTCATACGCAGTTGGGATAATCCATGGACTTTTCGAAAGTGAATCCTAGCGTGAGCTCATTACGGGACACGTTAGCCGAGAGTGCATACAGTGAGACGTGCGTGTCGCGTGCGTAATCTCTATTTGTCTAAAGCTAGGAAAAAGGTCGTCCCCATGGCAAAGGAAGCGAGTGCGTCCACTGTTTGTACGAGAAGGAAGCAAACAAGAGGAAATGCCGATAATAAGTTTGCCAAGCTGGTCTTGGACTATCGATCGGTACGATTGCGCTATTGATATCTCGTTGTCGGAGCGATGGAGCAAATAGAGTTCTTTCTCGGTCACTCTAGAGCGCGGCGTCGCATCGTCTGCCACGACAAACACACTGGACATACTCTATCCTCCTTTCTCTCTCTTAGAGTAGCCCATGCGCAACCTCAGTAAACTTGCTCTTTGCTCTTCCAAGGCGAGATCAGCAGGCCGCTGCCCGACGCCCCGACAGCAGCACCTCTGGATCCCAGTCTGGAATGGAGAGAACGTACGAGGCTAAGAGAGCGAAGAAGAGACAGCGAGGGCATATGAGTGGAGATCAAGTGGGAGAAGATACGCTCGAGAAAAAGGAAGCTAAAGATGAAAGGAAGGAAGACTGCTTGACTCTGGCCTCTGGTTCTGACTTGGCTTACCGGGTCCGCTCAAGCCGGGTTGGTGAATTGGCTGTGCGCGAGGGAACGGGCCATGTGGCATGTGGCCGTCTAGTATAGGGTACCAGGGCATTCGGAGGAAGAAATAGAGGGATAGAGATGGTGTAGGAGGAAGGGAGGGATGCTGTATGGACCAGAGATGCGAAAAGAAGATATAGAGACAGTATTGCACTATATTGGGAAGATGGGCCGATCTTCGCTCAACCGAACATTAATGCTCTCTCTTTCTCTCTCCCTCCTCTTATGAGATTCGCAGTTGGGCTGCCACGACCGAATTCCACCGAGCATCAGTTCTCTCCTTTCGTCTTCCTCTCTCTCTCTCTCTTTCTCTTTCTTCTTACAACAGCCATTCCCGTTCCTTTTACTCTATTCTTCTCCTGCGTTCGAATCTCTCGCGAACCTTCTCGTCCCAATGTATTTTTAATCGGCACCGTATTTTCGGCACGGTGCATTTATACCTACAGAAGGGACTCCAGCGGACCGCGAACCGCGACGACAATCACGACATCGTAGAGGAGGTGTATACGAGGGCGGAGCCGAGAGTAGAATGAGAGGAGACGAGGAGAACGAGGGAAAATCGTCGCGACACGAGAAAATTCAACAAAGCGTGAAACCGCGAATTTTCCTGCCTCCCCTCGAAAAAGGGGACCAAGTGTGCGTACCGGTGCTACGCATCTCCCTGTCGTTGGCTTAATTGGCACACCGGCTTCGTTATATGTACACACCGTACGGAGGTTATAATGTACAGAGAATATATTTTTTTGAAATAATTCACAATGCTCTGAAGAACTGGCCCCTCCGAGACTCGGAGCCTCGAGTAGGATCCGTAAGAGTTTCGCGAATTTCTCAACTGAGAGAGAGAGAGAGAGAGCGAGCCTTTTGGCAAGCCTATCGAGGGAGCAAGCTAGTTAACGTATATTTTGGAGTTATTAAAAATGAAAAAAAGTGAGGGGAGGATTTAATATGAGGAACGGCAGACGCCGTCCTCTTACATGGGAAACGTCTAAACGAACCCTCTGCAAGCTCTGATGCTGTAAACCAGCTTGGGCACAACAAGAGCCTGTACCAACTGACTCCGCATCGTGGTTCTGTCATGGCTGCTTCGTGCCCATGTCGTAGCAACCCCCCAGCAGACCCCTCGAACATAACTCATTGCGGTAAGCGAGCGCCACTTCACCGCGTCAAATTAACGGAGGGTGGTTTCAGAGTGGAGGGACAGTGAGGGCCGGCTGCCAGTTCGATCCGGAGATCGAGTACTTCACCGCTGGTAATGGTGGTATTCTGATGCAGGATCCACTTCTACCCTTAACTTTAGGACTATATAGATTCTTTAATTTTGGCAACCCTTGTCATATCTTCCTCTTTGAGTTTTTCTGTTGGTTTAATTTATAGCGGTTGAACATCCCCAGGGAATGGGGTTTCGATTTACGGATCATTCTCATTCAGGCGAGTCTAATCGAGGTACTGGTTATAGTTTATTGTAGTTTAAGGATGTGTAGAGGCTCACCCTTGCACTCGTTGGCATCCCTCGCTGTCGCCCTGGCCCAGGGTCTGTCGAAATGGAAGGGCCTGCATCTCTCGCAATCCCTGCCGGCGGTATTGTGTCTGCACTCACAGATGACTTCGCCATCCTTGCCAGGAAGGCACCTGGCTGCGTGTCCGTTGCACTTGCATCTGCCGCCGACGGCGAAGTCTGAGACGGCGTAATGATGGGCGAGGGTGGTACTGGTAGTGGTAGTGACGAAGCTCATCTCCTGAATGTCGAGAGCGTCGTTTGACTGCATCTCTTGGGGTGCTATAACCTGGTGAACGGATGGCAAAGCTGTTGCGGCTCCTGTTAGATGTTCTCCGATGAGGTTGATTTTCTGACTCTTTAGTCTCTCTTCGCGCTCCCGTTCGCGCTTTGTACTCTCCTCCAGACCCATATTCTCTTCTTGCACACCGTCCTGAGATTGCTGGGGCATGTACAGTCTATTGAAGACCACTTTAATATCCGTGGCTGTGACCCAATCCTGGAGGACTGGCGAATTGTCGAAGTCCGGTGCAGAGGGTCGACCCTCCAGGGTACTGAATGCGATTCTACCGACGGGACCGAGACCGTCGCCGCCTGTGTAACGATGGCTGTCCGTGCAACGTGCTTCCTGCTCGTTAGCCTTGGTGATGGTGGCCCTGTTAGGCCGTCCGTAGACACGACGGCACTGGGATGAATAAAACTGGAAGGGTTGCCAGGTCTTGCCATAGTCCATGGACTTGTAAATCGCTATGGAGTCCGGTTTCGCTGCCTTAGGACAAAACTGCAGACTAACGTAAGTCAGTTCGTACTTTTTGCCAAGGCTGAGGGTGAGCGTAACGTTATCCGGTGGGGCGGAGAAGCTCTGCGAAGATACTAACGGCTCGCTACGCCAACAGGTGACATTATTAGGATTGTTCAAATCCGTAAGGTAACTCGGAGGGAACCTTCTTCTAGGAGTACTGTCGTCGCATACGTGACACTGCCCAATGCCACCTCCAGGAAGATCCGAAACGTCGCAGTACCGCGTGGGACCACCGGTTCCGCAGGTAGAGGAGGCTTCAATAGCGGTTCCAAAAGCTGCATTCACAAAGTCCGGAATACATCTACGTGGACGGTCTTCGTCATAACATGGATCTGCTGGATTCTGTTGACTGGAGAACATCTTGGCGAAGCTGTCGCTGGCTGCCTCTCCTCTTATTACAAGCATCACGACGCTGAGGAAGAGTATCAGACCATTACTGCCCCTTGAATTCATCCTGACTTGTATTCACTTTTAGCTCTCTCCGTCTTGGAATAATTTCACGCAACTTCAAGGTGTGTCACCCACGTGCAATTTCAGACACTCCTCATGTCTTGCAAATAAAAAACTACAATCCTCTGTCACGCGCACTCAAACCGCGTAAAGGAGATCCTATTTAATATCAAGTACTGTACAACCCAATGGAATCCCGTTAACCCAGTTTTTAGAACTTTTCAAAGTATATTCCTCTTATTATCCTCCTTTAAGAGCCTAAGCATCGAGTAATAAGCGACGTCTCGACGCTGACGTCGCGGCACGCGAAACTCTCGAAACTCATCGTCTCTCCGTGGCGCGCACGTGGGATACTAATAGATCCAAATACAGCAGGCTCAAGTAAACAATGTTTTGTCCTACACCAATGGCAGTGGTATTTTGAGAAATAAAAACGAGTAAGAAGACGCGATGATCGTCAAACTTCAAATACGATATATCACAGAGGATATCGCGATACGCATCCGACAGGGACCAGAGAGAGAATGTGCAGAAGAGTCAGGATACGTAGGAGAAACAGAACAGCCGCTCTCTCTGGCGGCTTGCCGCTAACTGAACACTGCTGAGCACCGTCACCGCCGTGTGCATCTGAACGGTCAGAGTCCCTCCCTGTAAGCTCGTCCCTGCTCCACCTACTACATCGTCAACTGCTCCGTAGCACCCTCGCGCCGCCAATCCACTCATTCCCGACTCTCTACGTATATCTCAATTCTCCCTCGCAGTCCCACCGACATCTTTCGCATCAACTTTCTTCTTCTTCTTCTTCTTCTTCTTGTTCTTCAGTTTCACCATCCCTTAATACGGAAAGACACTTTGGCTCATTTCACTGATTTTGACGTATACTACTCAATCTACCTCTAAGACTAGATACAGAATGGTACATTAGGTATAATGAGATTATAATACATACCCAGTATATTCTATTACATAAGTTCTGTTTACTCGGTGCTCCAATAATATGCAGGCATTTTTTGTGACAGCATAATTGTAGGTTCGATGTCAGATAGAATGAGTTCAGGTAGAAGAGGAACATTGGCGTGCGCGAATGGACAACAGCCAAGGTACTGTGCAAGAGCGTCATTCACGTAACAAGAGTGGAGCTATGTAACAACGTACATAGATATACCAGGATACAAGAAAGGTCAGCCGTCGTGTGCGCTTCTGGATTATCTAGAAAGACGCCGCCAAGGTGGCAGTACTATACCTCGTGGAACCCTTTACGTAATCTTGTCTAGTTGGTTAGATGTAGAGGAACCGTCCCACGACCTACGGAAATATCAAGTCATCCGTGTATATAGCTGGCCATCGGTAGACCATAAAGAAGTAGACCTAAAGATAAATAGAAAATACGTGACGATCTGTCTAGAATACTACGGCTACCCCTCGGAGGTTAAATATCAAAACACACCCCAAAGGGGCCTCAGGGTCCCTCTTTTACAAAAAGCATAATTACGCTATTGGGCGCAGGTGGTTGGAATGCTTTTCACCACTTGGTTCTTTTTTCTCACCCTCACTGGGCACGTTGGATACACTCAAACGGGACTTCCGTAGCACAAGCTGACGGTCTCTGGCAAAGATTTCTTCCCGAGGGAGAGAGAAGGAGAAAGGGAAAAAGAGAAAATCGTGAATCGAATGTCCAACGCGTCCAGGCGCGGTAGGCTGACTGTTGAAGAGGCATTTATTAATCGAATTAATCTAAGCTGTCCAGTGAGGTGAGTAGCACGAGCGCTCGTGACCGCGTTCCTGACTTTAGGATTAGGATTCGAGGATTAAAGTTTAAAACTCAGCAGCGAGTGACCGGCTTCAATATGAGAGGCATGCTCCACTCGCGAATCCTTACCGTCAGGCACTGATCTTAATCGCACCGCCATTTCCGTGTCTTCTTGTTCCTCTACAGCTTCGGACGAGTTCAGATGCTACTTCCATAGAGAAAATGGAGAGACTTTTATATAGGCATACTTCTACCTCCGCCAGGGAAAGTCGTCCTCTTCAAAGGAATATTTATTGGACATGAGAATATGAGATAGTCTTACTCCTGTGTACAGGACGTGGCCACCATCTTGGACAGTTTGTAACTTATTATGTTTCTTTCTTTGCATAACTACGTCGCCAGTTATATTCCCTCGCTTTGACGGAGACCAAAAATGTCTACTCTTCCTTGGTACTTCAGAATCCGGCTGCGTGCCGGCATCCTAGATTCGGGGATTAACCCCCAGTGATCTGTGATCCACCCTCCAGGCTCTAACAGCTTGGCATCATGGGTCAGGATGGGAATATCGGAGAATCGACGATCACTGTTTTCTTATCCATCCAGACACGGAGGCATATTCCTACTACACTTCAGGATATGTAAGGCTAGATGAGCCGCAAGCTAAATATGACCAAGACGACGTCTTTTCATGTTTTTTTCTGAGTATTTCTTTGCTAGCAATATCAGCTCTCGCTCAGTACACTGAACGCGAATGAGAGATTCAATCTCAGGGATCTTACAGCGCGTAATTATTAAGTTAATTACGATACCTTGGACGGGAGAGAAATGCGCGGTCTACAAATTATAACTTTTTTTTTTCTTTTACACTCTGCCGGTAAAGAAGTAGGCAGGTCGAAGTTAATGTCACATAGTGCCCCCTCTCGGACACTATTGAAAGATACAGAGACTTAGGAACCTGGAATAAGAGATCCATCTAATAGCAATGGCTTGAACTACAATCCAAAGCAAAACTTAACTTTCACAGCATCCTGGGTATCGGGCCGTGGAAAAAGCAAAGGAGAAAGGATTTCTGTTTTTAGAGTAATTGCCACTCTCGTATCATGCTTGCCACTCTGAGGAGTGCTCGCAACCTCTTGGTAAGTACTTTTCATGATTAAAAAGAAAAAGGACATTCGTTATTACTTTCCTAAATGTTATCCTTTCGTGGTCTACCCTTATGTAACCTCTAAAGATAGTTTATTTTTCTTTAACTCTATTATCTTGACTTGTCACAAGAGATGATTCTTTTTCACAGACATTCACGAATGCGAGAGGCGTCCAGACCTCAGCAGTTCGAGCATCAGATCATCTGTTCGTTGTAAGTTATATTATGTGCTGAGACTGATAAATTATCATTTACATCATTTACTTCTTAGCACAGGGATAGCGAGCAAGACAATCCAAACATACCATTTGAGTTTGATGAAGTAAACAAGAAACGTATAGATGCTCTTCTTGCTATTTATCCTGAAGGCCACAAACGTGGTGCTATGATTCCCTTGCTTGACTTAGCGCAGAGACAACATGGTTGGCTTCCTATCTCTGCTATGCACAAGGTGGCTGAAATCCTAGAGGTGCCTCGTATGAGAGTGTACGAGGTTGCAACTTTCTATACTATGTTTAACAGAAAACCCATGGGAAAGTACCATATTCAAGTTTGTACCTGTACCCCATGTTGGCTTAGAGATTCCGACTCTGTATTAAATGCAGTGAGCAAAGCTGCAAACTGTGAGGTTGGTGGTACGTCACCGGATTCTATTTTCACTATCTCTGAAGTAGAATGTCTTGGAGCCTGTGCTAATGCACCAATGCTACAGGTCAATGATGATTACTATGTAAGTATTTATACTTTTTCTACATTACTCTGATCGTTTATACAACAATTTCATGATTTAATTTATTCCTACAGGAGGATCTTACTGCGGAGACAGCTGAATCCATAATAAATGCTTTGAAGAAAGGTGAAAGACCTCCACCAGGGCCACAGAATTCTCCACGTTTTGCTGCTGAACCTGCAGGAGGTCTTACATCTTTAACTAGCCCACCTCCTGGCCCTGGTGAAGGTGTACGCTCGGATCTTTAGAATCCTCAAATTGTTACCATCATAGTACGAGTGCTAAGCATCGTGTAAACAATATTGCAATATATGTGTCAAGCCCAATAAATTATAAAATATTATCGTTAAAATTGTCTGCGCTTTAATGTTTCCCTTTTCGTGAGGCAAATCTACAATTGATGGCGTTGCTTTCCTTCCATCCTACCCCTTAACAAAGTCCTACCAAGATTGCACACACGTTTGTTGTCACTAATGATTATCACATTGGCATTTACAATTCTTTGTTTATCAACCATTTATAAAATTTGATTATTTAATATGACAGAGCCAGTACCGACGACAGAAGCTTCTAAAAAAATTCAAGCTATCAACAGAGAAACTGTTCATCATATTTGTTCTGGACAGGTGAGGTTACTTTAATTTTTATAAAGAGTAAATAAATAAAGAAAAGAACATTTTTTTATACAACAGGTAGTATTTGATTTAGCAACTGCTGTAAAAGAACTAGTTGAAAATAGTTTGGATAGTGGTGCAACAGTTGTTGAAATCAAGCTTGTAGACTATGGTCAAACTTGCATCAGCGTTAGTGACAATGGATGTGGAGTTCTAGAAGATGACTTTGAAGGTTTAGGTAGAGATCATACACCAATCGTATACTTAAAATATATAATACTGTTTATATCAATACATTTCAATCATTAATTTTGAACAGGCTTGAAGCATCATACATCAAAGCTACAGGAATTCTCAGACTTAACGGAAGTGGATACTTTTGGATTTCGAGGGGAAGCTCTAAGTTCGCTATGTGCTCTTGCTGATTTAAGTATAGTTACTAAACATTCTAGTAGTGTACATGCATATAAATTAGAATTTGATAGAAATGGCATCCTGAAAACGAAAGAAGCATGTGCTCGAGACACTGGTACTACTGTTCATGTGAGAAATATATTTAAAAGCCTACCAGTGAGAGCTAAGGAATTTCAGAGAAATATTAAAAAGGAATATAATAAGACTCTACAAATATTATACAGCTATTGCCTAGTATCAGTGAATATTAAAATTACCTGCAGCAATACAATAAGCGGGAAATCAGTTAATCTTCTTATGTCTACCATGGGAACAGAGAACGTCCTGACAAATATAAACTCAGTATTTGGCAAGAAAGCTTCAGAAGCTCTTGTCGCAGTTAAAGCAGAAACGCCAGATGAATTTACTCTTCAGGAATACAATCTATCTAATGATACTACCTTTGACTTTTCCTGGGAGTGCTATGTAAGTAGCTGCGTACATACACTAGGGCGTTCTACACCAGACAGACAATTCTTCTACGTAAACGGTCGTCCTTGTGATTTAGTCAAAGTGTCAAAATTAATAAACCACGTATATCACAAGTACAATAATAAACAATACCCATTTGTCTTCTTGAATTTGAAACTTAATCAAAATTGTACAGATGTCAATGTGACACCTGATAAGAGAACAATATTTTTTACCCAAGAGAAAATGATCTTAGCTACTATTAAATCTAACCTGGTGCGCGTGTGGGATAAACTCCAAGGTAACTTTATGCCAGTGACCTTACGAGACCTAAGTGTGAAGTTCAAGAGAGGTAGTTCGCCAACTCTTTCACAAGAACCACCTGCAAAGAGACAGCAAACTACTGGGACCAAAGTACAGAAAATCAAGAAAGAAGTCAAGGACGATGAAACAGACGGGGATGATAATGTAGAATACATAGAGAAACCAGAAGACATGACAATGACTATCAGCATTAGTTCAGTAAGAAAAGCATTCTTATCCAGAAAGACATCTACAGCAATTAATGGAAATGATCAGAATAGGATAAAATATAGAACACAGATAGAACCAGGCCGAGATTCAGAGGCTGAAAAAGAACTTCAACGAGAACTCACAACGGATTCTTTTGACAAGGTTTTTTTTCCTCTTGATTTTGATGAACACAAGACTGTCAAAGAATCATCTAATTTAATTAACATTTTTTCTTCACAGATGCAAATCATAGGACAATTCAACTTGGGCTTTATAATAACACAACTTTATGGTGACTTATTTATAGTGGATCAGCATGCCAGTGACGAAAAATATCGATTCGAAAAGTTTAGTAACGAGACAAAATTAAAAACACAAAAACTTATAATTCCTAAACCACTAAATCTTGCTTCCCTTAATGAAAATGTTCTTATCGAGAATCAAAAAAGCTTCGAAGACAATGGATTCATGTTCCAAGTAAATGGAGAAGGTAAGTTACTACTCACTGAAGGTACTCACTCAAAAACAACGTTCGATAGTATCTTATTATAAATTGCAGCCGAACCTGGTCATCGAGTAGAACTCATAGGAATGCCAGTTAGCGGTGGATGGCAGTTCGGCCAAGAAGATATAGAGGAACTGATCTTCCTTATTAAAGAAGGTGGTGATCCTGAAGGTGGTCAGATTCCTCGACCCAGCAGAGTGCGACAGATGCTAGCATCTCGAGCTTGTCGTAGTGCAGTTATGGTTGGAAAACCGTTGAACTTTCCGGAAATGCGCCGACTGGTATCTCAAATGGGTCAGATGAAAATGCCCTGGAATTGTCCTCACGGTAGACCTACGATTCGGCACCTCTTGTCCTTGACTGCATTAAAATGATAGCAGGAGCTTCCTGCGGTGACTCCAAATCAGAATATACCAATGTATATCAGGATGAGGATAATGAACTCTAGTGTTGTGTGACGACAGTATATTCAAGAGGATATTACACGCTAATTGTACGAAATATATTGAATCCCGAGTGTGCCGTGGAGATGAGGGTACCAGGACACTGGGGATGCCAATGTAACTCCTTAACATCTGTTTGTCCTTGGTGGATGAACAAAAGCTGCGGTGGTAGACCGGCTAATTGGCCATCTTTAGGAGCTTCATCTTGATCTACTTCTAAAGAAAGATCCCACTGGGCGATCTGATCGTCAGCACCACCAGAAGCAAAGACTGTACCTTCTTCCGGATGCCATTCTACTGTAGTGACTGGTGCTGTATGTTGTTTAAAAGTGGCTACTGGGCTTGGTTCGGATGAACTGAATTGTCGTAGATCCCAGATACAGAGCATTCCGTCATCCCCACCAGAGACGAGGAATCGCGTTTCTTTGCGATTCCAGGAAATGACGTTTACATCGGCCGTGTGAGCGTTTGCAGCTGTTAGCATGCATGCTGACTGAGGGCTGGCTCTCGTGTCCCAGATTCTTATACTGTAAAATGTGCGTTCCATGTTGGATGTAAAGTTTAATGTATTTAAGAAATAGATTTACTGATGAAAATCTTTATTATGAAATAAAAATAAAAAAGATGTACCTCTTATCTACCGAACAAGAAGCCAGAACGTTCTTCTCATTTGGTGACCACTGTAAATCTTCCACACTATGAGGTGCATGGCTATTGTAAGGTCTCTGGTCAACAAGCCAGGAAGCACTGGACGCACTGTCGGTATTCCGCCATATGTGAATGTTTCCTTTACAATCTCCAGAGGCGAGAGTACCTGGTTCTACAGGACTCCAATCTATAGCATATCCCTCACTGAGATGTCCCTTGAATGTATACAAAGGTTTAACACCTCCATCAGGCTTATCGCATTTTTTACGGTAAGCTATGAGCAAGTCGCTATTGTCTACAGCTTTCAGTTGCTCATTTAAATTCCATAGATTCACACGGCCAAGTTCACTCCAACTTGCTGCCAGGGTTGTATTTCCGATCTGTGTACACCTGCCAACATACATTGCATGTGCAATTACACTGGAGTTCAGTAATTCGTTGATGCTTGCTCAGGAAGTATTCTCACCTAACTCTATTAACGCATCCTTGATGCTTTATTGAAGCAACAGCCATGACTGGTGCACGTTCACCTTCATTTTCATCTTCAGAATCGCTCAATTCATCCTCTGAATCCTCATCACCTTTTCCAGTGCCATGGAGGTTTGACATTTTTATTACAAGAAGATTATTAACATGAGCCTTAGCAGCTTGTGTTCCAGCCACCAGATACATGCTAAGAGGATATGTGTCTCGAGAGTTGCCATAATCATCATGAATTATATCAAAGCTCAAGCAAGGTGCTCCTGTCTGTGCCTGATGTAATAATCGATAAGCAGATTTGTCTACGATGAGTTCCTCGCCCTTTTTTAGCGGTTGTCCAGGTAGATAAACTTTTCCCTCCTCATCCTTATTTGACCCAGCATCCTCGCTATCTTCCTCTTCCATAGATTCTTGATCTTCATCTTCGCTCCCTTCACTCATGACCTCATCGACGATGCCATCCACGGGCTCTTGATCCAATTGTTCTGACATATCTTCGTACAAAAAATCCTATTTTATGCAGGATAGACCAAGTAACAGAAGGTTTATAACCTCAAAAAACCAGTTTGATAATGATAACGTGACTATTACATATCTAATCCTTAAATAATTTCCACGCAAATATATATTGTTCGAATATCAATTTTAATGTACAGAAAAATCTATATTTTTTTAAGAGAACACAAGATTTTTCAAAGAAAATATAATAAACGAACTAACCTGACTGTTACTGCACTTCAATGTATCCCCACGTGTATGAGACTATGTACATACATACATACTATAGCAAACCTGACTATACCTTAATACAGCATCATAAATGGGCCACTACGAGTATCTTTGTAGGATAAACGGAAAATGCATATAATTGTTACTCTTTGGACATGACGTTTTAGATATTGAGGATATGCATATATTGCATTGGTGAGGTAAATAAAAAAAAGGACAGCTTCATAATAGGAGATTATTCATACCATTCAGGTGACTTGGTATATATATTTTTTCCTGTATCTATACTAGATATCGACATATCCGCAGCATAAATTCTCCTGCATTTTTTTTCATACTCTATCTATCGGCTTATAAAAACTTACTGCATTTTAATGAGAAGCTTGCTTCTGATCATAGGACCATCGGGGACGAAGAATGGAGTCGGGCAAGCAAGCTGCTCCATTGTGGACCAGTTTATTAGCAATCTATATTAATAATAATAGTAATAGTATAATTAATATAGTTTAATGTATAAAATACAGTGATAGTAATTATTGTAATCCCTGCAAGGGATAAGGTTTAGGAGCTGAATAAGGAGGAGGATATTAGGATGGAGTGGAAAAGGATAAGGAAAAGTATAAATGAATAGAAGTGACAAGTCTGACCTGGGTGGGTATACTCACATTGACAGACTTTTTACTCGGTATTAGCTATGCTTATTAATATGGGGATTGGTACCAGAGTTATTCGTCAGTTGTATGGGGGCGGCTGTAGCGTGCGTATGATGTGTCGGAGATGCGTTGGGGTTGTTGCGATAGGGGTTGGTATTATAGAGACTGTGCAGGTAAGAGCGCTGGACGGGCTTGTGCTGAGCGAGCTGAAGTAGTGCCTCGGGTATCGAGAACCACTTCCGCTTCCGACCAATAGCGCGTGAATCTTCCCATTCTGGCAGCTCCTCTGTTACACGCATTACCCAGACCTGTGTTCTATGCTTGTGTTCCACATTCTGCAATGACAAACATGCTATTACGTCAGAACTGTATAGATAATAAGACAACAGCTGCTAGTCAATTAGTGCCCCAAATGCTGACCTCGAATATGCCAAGACACCGACCCAGCTGCCCCAACACTCCAGCCTCTTCCCTAACTTCCCGCAGTGCAGTGACTGCAGGTTCCTCCTCAGGTTCCACACCACCCCCTGGTACAATCCAGTTATCTGGTCTTCGGCTGGATGTTACCAAGAGAACCTGTTGTGCAACATGGAAGGCAAAAATCATCAGCAACCTAACTGACTATAACAGCATTAAATGTGACCAAATAACATAAATGAATACAGGATTAAATAAATTGCATAGGTCTAACAATAAATATGGTAATACAGTGCCGGCACAAACGTAGAAAAAGGAGTGCCCTTTATTGGCCTACCTCATCCTCGAGGTCGTTTTTGACGCAGATACACGCGGCCCTGCGTCTATATCCCTCCGAATCGTAAATACGGATCGAATTTGGCTTCTCCTTCACCATGTTTCACCCGTGAGGATCAGCAAATATCATCCCGTAGACAGATATTCGTCAGACGGCCGTATCGGCCATCCCGTGTTCCCGCATTGCTTTTAGGATATTTGGAGCCAACATATTTTCAACGTGAAATTCACTCTTTGGGTTGTCTTCTCGTTCCCATAATCGTCCTCCACACTTTCGTCAAATGTTCGCACCCGAAGCTAAAAAGACCCCTAGTCCCGTCACAAGGATATCGGCACAAGGCCTCAAGCACTCTATCTCACTCTCTCACTCTCACTAGCCTTCCGTTCTCTATCAAACGCCTCGTTATAACCTCAAAACTTTGAAAGCTACAGACGTTCAGAGTCTCCTTTCTGCTCTGCACCATACACTTATGATCATCTTGCCGCTGACCCTGAAAACAGTTTCTAATCAGAACGGAGGCTCACGAGATTTTCGACAGTACTTTCACGTGACCACATTTAAGATTGTACCATATTTCATCAATCGCAAGCGCTCCACCAATAGCATTACGTAAATATTTGTAGACGAGCTTTTCATTGGTTGATCGATCATATTTGAATGGACGTTTGATACATATGAAACTACCTTTAATATAATAACTACGCTAGTCATAAAATGAAAATTCCTGGACTCCACTCTTAATATCCATTTCCCTAGACGCTACTGGTGGTTCGTTGATCCTCCGCCGTGACCTTGATGAATGGCAGGGACAATCGTAATATCCCACAGTCCACTACAAAGAGACTGATGACGTCATACCTAAGCGCTACTTAGTTAACAATGATAAATACTTGACAAAATTAATAGATTACCAAGCTAATCGATTTTTTTCTACGTAATAAAGTGATGAAGGGGAGAGGGAATAAAAAGTAAAAGAAAAAAAGGTAAGAGGCCAAACGGAGCAAGAGATAAAGATTGCATTGTTTGAATTGATTGTAACGCGTCGAAGGTTAAATCAGAACCTTTATTTGTTACTACAGCGTCAACAGCATTACGACAAGTCCTCTCTCCTCGAAACTCTTATACATTCTGGCTCCCCCTTTTATGAAAGTATCAAAAATATCCTTTCTAGCACTCATCCCCCAACAGACAACAAAAACGATACATCTCGGTCTCGGTAGTAAAATCATTAAACATAGAACATTTTTTTTATCTAAGCTAGAGGTTTCTCTCATCTCAGCTATCACGCACTCGCTTTATCATTTGTATATGCACACACGCACACTCCCACTCTGGCGTTCCTTATGCTTCCTGTACAACCCGCTCGATTATGTACGCGCAGGTGTGCACTCGACTGAACGTCACTTCGTTATTCTCATTCAAGAAAAAAAATAATAGTATTCAAGTAATAATAGTAACGATAATTACCGCCTCTCGCTTAATGCTAAATCGACTTCAAGATGTAAAACTAAGTAAAATTTATAAATATGGTACAATCGATAGTAAGCGATAGAGCAGTAATAGATTAATTAATTATAGATACGTATAGGTAATAGCATTGATCGTTGAATCTTATGGCGATTATTAAAAGTCCTTTGCTTAATATTACAATCAAGGATTGAATTAGGTATCTGTCCTTACGTTCGATTTGATCGAGTCTCGCTCCTCAGAACGATCACCACATATGCACGAACCAGCATCGCAGACTAGCAGCCACCTTGACTAGTTTTTTTCATCTTTCTTTTATTTTACTTCTGTCTTTCCCACCATTATCAAGCAAGTCTTCGACGTCGGTGTCCTGTAGATCAGCGACATGATCCACTTTGATTTTTACCCGCGATTTTGATGTGCGAGAATCAATCGCCAGGATGTTCAGGGCAGCTGCGATTCACTTGAAACCACTTATCAATGCAGCTGGGAAAGATTTTTTCAGGATGAGTTTTGAGTAGTGAAAACACGATTAATGAGAATCGAATGAATGATTATACATACTTTTTGTGATATATGCAGAGGCAAGGTAAGCGGGCTATCACATCCCCAGGTTGTAAGTCTTCCAGACAAATGACGCACTCTCCTTTTTCATCTGCTAGTACGTCCTCTACACAGATAAGACAATCCTTTTAGTAAATCTAATGATGTTGCTAGATATTAAAGATAAGAAAGAACTGACCATTATAACTCAGACGAGGCTTGGTCAGACACATGACCAAGTGGCATTCTATGTCATCTGGTAAGATGAACTTGGAGCACACAGGACACTTTAGACCTTGAAGAGAAAGAAGACAGCATAAGAAGCACGAGGGTTAACACTGTTGCATACGTGTTCCGGGTATGCACTGTGCCTACCGTAAAATACTCTTCTAACGCGATGAGCGGGTACAACTTCAGTTTCGGACTCGTTCAGGCACGAGCTCACTATAACTCCCATAGTAAACCCGACCTAACCTAATCCGATCCATCCCACCGCGAAGATGTTGAATGCCGTGGCAACGTTTATTCTCGCGACCGCGGAAGGCTAAGGATCTTCCTTGAGTACTTAAAATTTACAAGCTTTTTTCCGTGGCCGTGATCGATTGCACGCGGTTACCAGGCCAACCACCCCGGCAACACGCGTCATAACAAACGCCCCCTATTTTCTATCTTACCCGTGATTACAGTAAGGATACTTCTACATATCTAACCTCACCGCCGGAACGCGGAAAGCCTAAGTGGAATATCTGATAATACTAAAACAAATCTTTGTAATTTGCAAACCCAATGCAATAACAAAGAACAGCTAATCATTAGAGTATGTGTAATATGAATATTACGTATGTATGTACACATATAAACTACCATCCTGAAGTAGTGTAAAAATTGATGGCAACCCTGAGGTAGGTCTTTCTTCCTAGGGAGGGAATAGATTGACCTCATGTCCCATAGGCATTAAAATGAAGAACAAATGGATGTGAAATTCAAATAGTGCTTATTAGAATTCATTTCACTATGAACAGCCCATGAAGAAAGATTCTATGACAGTAAAACAATCGTTCTAAAAAGTTCACAATTTAGATCCATAATAAAATATACATATTTTACTCATGACATGCTTACCATTAAGAGACCAGATATGAGAGGGCAAGCTATGAGCAGCATAAACGCGACCACCATCCTCATCATTGTCATCTGAGTCAAGTTGTGGTAGTCCCAGAGCCTGTCCAACACTGACCCCTACGGAAGCAGCAAGGGCACTCTGTTCACCAGAGGACAAATCTGGTACTGAACTAAGAGACCGTGCTCTTTGTCTGCTATCTCCAGGCACTCTAGAATTCTGTGACTGGTTTCCCTGTTGATGCTGATGTTGCAAAATCCCAACTCCTCCAGGAAGTGAACGCAAAATCGAGAAACCCTGCATGGTAGCATCATTGGGGCCTCCTGAGGATTGTCCGTTGTTTGCACCACTCTGCGCCACCGTGCTAGCTTTTCCTCCCATTCCGATGTTTCTTTAACTTTCGGCCGGTTTTCGATCGAAACTTTGATCTTCTCGATCGATCACCGTTCAGCTTATTCCGTGTCTTCTGGCGATGTACTCGGCGCTGGCACCAGCACCTCTCTCTAGAGTAGACTTTTTACTTCTTGAAGTTGGCTGGATTCGTACCAAATGAGCTCGAATGATACACACGCTGGTTCTAAAACACTTTAGGATTTAGCTTAGGCCGGAATTTCGCAAAGGTTCGCCACGACAAGCAAGTCATTTCGTCCGAGACCATAGCAGCGGCTCATCGCGCAAAACATCCCCCGACATCTTGCGATAAACTTCCATAGACTATTTACTGTACTCATACGAGACTGGACACTCCTTAACGTTTTAACTATTCAGTGCAAATATCAGCGCCTCTATTTTCCACAAGCTGAAACCCTATTCTTCTGCAGTTTAGGGCATATTCCGTAATTGAACCACAGATGCGGTTACTAAATTTCAGCCAATTGCATCGATTGATTTCGACTTCTGACAAAAATCAATCAATATCATTAGCTGAAATTTAATACCCACACTGTGGTTCAATTACAGAATAACCCTTAATCTAAAGTATTTATTTTTCATACAAAATTTTGATTGTGATTGGTCACTGTCTATCGTTTGGCACTGATGTGTAATGCGATAGAGACATTATAATTGTGAATCAGCCTGTATTCTTATTCTCGTGTAGTATTTTCCCGCCATTGGACTAATAAATATCGTGTTATTTTTTATTAGCTGGACTTTGGCAGATTTTGGATTTTGATTATGGCACGTAAGTTGATTAAAGTAAAATAAAGTAAATTATGGTAATGAGGTTTAATTCATTAGGTATGTTCTATCTTTTGTTAACATTAATTTTGATAAACATGTTTTAGCTGCGCGATTTGAAGAATGGACTCCTGAACATTTTCTGACAAATCAGACGTCTTGTCAATTGATTTTGGAAGATGCAGAAGCCTTACGAGAAATTCCTTTAGTGAATTCTGCTCCTTTGCATAGTTTCAAGGATGGAGAGCTAGTTCGCTTTCGAGGCATGATTCAGGATATGTATAATCCTGAATACTATTTTGAGAATTATGAAGTCAGAAATTCTCAAACCGGGGAATGTCAGATTCGATGTGGAACTTATAAAGATACAGCATACTGTTTGGTAATGACATAATATTTATTTCCACATAAAAGTATTATGGTCCTTATGGAAATGTCACAGATATGCCCCCGCCATTATTTGATAGGCGTTCTGGGTATTTAAAAGGACCTATAATAAAATAACTGGCAATACTAGGTGTGAGAGTCTTTAAGAATTGTTCTACTCATGTATAATGTTGCCAACAAATATTATTAATTATAATGTTGTGAAAAATATTGCAGTATTCTAAGGGTAGTCTATGGTATAACTATTTTCATTTTCTATTAGCCTCATGAAGAGATTATCATTGATTCGAAGAAGAATAGAAGCTCAGAACGTCAGACCTGTGTTGTTATCTCTATTCCTGGATTAAATGAATGGGCAAAAGAAAAGTGTATTAAAACCAATTTAAATTTACCAGAAGTGTCCCATACATCTTTTAAAAGAACTCTTGAGCAATCTGTTGAAGAAATGGATTGTTCCGAACCAATTAGAAAAAAGGAGAAAATGATGGAAAACAGTGAAAATGAAAACACCAATACCCAAGAAAGAAATAATATAAATACACTATCAAAAGAACATATAATGAATTTCCCAATTCCTATTGATGATGGTAAAGCATGCATCGTAAAGGTTATTAAAGTAATCTAATATTATTGAAACATAATATTTGCTGTATTTTTCATACACTAATATAACATTTTCAGATTTATGAAGATGCCACGTCATACAAACTAAATCAAATTCTGGAAATTGTTGGCTTCATATCACTTGATCCTGCCTTAAGTCTTATTCATGACTCTGAAGATGCAATGGATGATTCTGAAGTACAGATTCATAATCCACCTACTTCCTTGGTACCTCGCTTACATGCTGTAAAAATCACATCTCTTACAAGACATCATGTAGATTCCTGTCCACAAATCGTATCGCGGGCCGAACAAATTAGAGCAGAATTACATATGATACTCAGCCAAATATTATTTGGTGACACATTGGCTGCAGATTATCTTATTTGCCATTTAATATCCTCCATGTACGTTTTCTTTCGATACATCACGGCATATTATAGTGCAACCAATAATGAACTTCCATCATACAATTTCCAGCTACTTGAGAAAAGATGCGCTGTGCTTGGGTTCGTTTCCTATAAACATTACAAATTTTTCTTTTGGAAAGTTTAGGACATTCCCAAAAGATTTATACGAAATTTTGTCTCTTCTTGTACCCAAGAGTCACTATTTGGAATGCAGTCTTGAAGCATTGAATGACATGTGTCTCATCCCAAAGTAAGTTTTAAATATCAATATATATCAGAACAAAAGAATCTCGTTGTCCTCTTCTTTATCATTCTATTTGATTTTTTTTCTCAGGAAGGACTATGACTGTAACAGATTAACCAGCGGCATATTACAATTGAGTAACAACACGCATCTGGTAATAGATGAAACACAATTATCAAGCGGTCGTGTATCCGCTAACGGCCGTAAAAACTATGAGGCTATTGGTGATTTGGTGAAGTTTCAAAAGGTTTCCTACGATTTTACATACTATCCAATGGAATTTGAAACAGACATCCCGGTGTTAATTTTGTCCGAAGTGAAGTCCTTCATACCTGTGAGTTCTTGTCACGTAAAGATATTTGTTCCAATACAGACATCGATAAGTATCCTAATCGATAGGATTTTAGTGTGTGATTCAAGTCATCGTGAAACCCGATGAGGATACAGAAAATCTTTATCCCCAAGTCGTACAGGCAGCCAAACAATACTTAAAGGATGACAAGCGGTTGAATGATATTCGTCAATATTTAGAAAGCATGAGGCACTCAGATTTTCAGTTTAACGATGAAATAGTTGACGTAAGTCATAAATTAAGTTGCTATTTAACAATTTCGTATTTTTAATCTAATTCTAATTACAGACAATCCAAGAGGATTTTGTGAAGATGCGACAATCGGATCAAAATATAAACGCTGACAATTTACACTCTCTCATGGTTTTAGCTAGGCTAATGTCTTTATCTCATGGAACGAATACGTTAACTAAAGATTATTGGAAACAGTCCATGGATATGGAGTCAAGAAGATTAGAGAGGCTTCCGCGTCGAGAAAAGTGAATTCTTAGGAATCACATTATACATAATCATATTATTACGTTTTGATAATAAAACCATATAAAATATATCCTCATTTATAGTTCTGTCCATGCAAGAGATATATTCGAAATGCCAAATATTTTTCACGTAAAGTAAGTTCTAATAATTCAAATAAATAGCTTAATATCTTGGAATGGTAAATGCTTTATTTACATGATTAAATACCGAAGGGTATCAACCGTCCAACGATAAATTTCATTGTTGCTGAACTCCAAGAAAGCCCGACCTTCCATCAAGTACATAATAGCCATCTCTAAAGTCAGCAATTAGTTTACCTTACAGCAATGTCATAAATTTGTAACTAAATTTCATTTCTTATAAGAAATGAAACTAGCATACAATTAATGAGGCACACATATTCATCGTAGATGTTTCAAGGACGAAACACATATGAGAAAAAAATAATTATCTGAAATTCTAATACTGAACGATCCAAAATGGCCGACCAAATAAGAACGTTATGTGTATCTCTTGAGTATTACTTATAATAATCTCAAGTTAAAATCTACATATATGTATACATATAATACACGTGTTATGCCACTCGAGCAATGGACGGAATACATTGACTTATTCGCTAGAATATAATCTAATAACGAGTATAACTTCGAAGTTAAATAACGCAATAAATAACAGAGTGAGCGTCATTAAAAGTGACAGTAGCAAAGTATATTAGCTTTATGCTCTACTGTGTCCAGTTTCATCCAGGTACGCTACATCAAGGACCCTTTGAACTGCATTCTTGTCCTTAGTACCATACCTCTCCGCACGTTCTTTATGAATAAGCTCCAGTCCTCTCCTGGCAGCTTGTGCATACCTCTTCGAAAGGGCAACTTCGCCCTTAGCGCCAGGTATGTGTCCAGTGTAGCCCACAATCGGTGGCTTCTCTGGTGACACGTGATGCTCTGTAGAAATATATGTAATTAAATTAACATAATGTTACTAGGTCGAGAACGAAAAAGGAACAGCCGGAGGCAATGAGATTTATTCAAGGTGAAAAATCTGCCTCCTTACTCATTGGTAGATTGACAGTCTGTCTCACCAAAGAATGTTCTATCTCTGTCATGACCGTGATCAATCTCCACATCAACGTTGTCCGCTCTGGCTCTAGCTAACAGATTCCTGGGATCGGTTCTTTCAACATGGGCTCTTAGGGCGTCCCTTTTAGCCCTTAGCTCATTCTGTGTGTCTCGCCATTCCTTGCGACCCTCTTCAACAGCTTTCTTAAAGGGTAATCCGTACCTATTGTTGAAACCCGGAATGTATCCTGGGGATCATGAGAGTTCAACGTGAAGGAAGATAAGAAAGAGGAAGTCTAGTTCCAATATCCCTTCCTGTTTATATCTTACCAGTATAGCCTAGGATATAAGGTGGCGCTTTGTGCAGGTAAGCGTCATTTTTCCAGTCTCTCCTGATATCCTTTTCTCGGACAATAGGTATCAGGACCTCCTTCCCAGATGCTGGTCTATATGGACCATTCTTCAGGATCTCTTTCTCGAGGAGTTCCTGTAACGGTGCCTATTGGTTTTCTTCATATACAACGCAAAATGGATGGTAAAAGCCAATCGAGGAATTTATGACTATGCGATTTGCATAAATATTTTTGTTACTCACCTTCATTATCTCTTCTGTACAGGCTCCGAATCTCTTGCCAACCCGAAACTTGAGAGTTGGACAATGGCCGGTGTATCTGAAAATAAAATAACAGTAAGAAATACTTCACCTTTGTCATAACAACCCATTGATTATTCATTGCATCTTCTGTTACTCCATTTATATGTATATGCGACTGTTATTTGGAAGCTAGAATTAACATCTGTTTAAACTGAGTTGACTGTTTCTTGTTGCTGGATTACATCACCATGCGAATACACCTTCAGGATTAATTATCGTTCGGTTCACACCTCTCGCTTTACGAGGTGTTAATTCTTATTCATGCAAAGAGATGCCAGAGACGCCTTGGATAAATATTTTTTTCTAGAAAAAAATACGAATCATCTCCACGGGTAGACATATATTCATAATCTTAGCTATAATGTTTGGTGTCATTGACCTATGGACTCAGTGGAGTCCGTGACGGTCATGCCACAGTGATTCGCATCGTAGTCCCTCCACCCCTCAACCCCTTGAACCCGCAGAAGTAAAAGACACCATCGAATGAATTGGTTATCGAACCAGACATCGACCAATGGCAGTAGGTCATCCAGATATAGCGGTTAGTAGGATTTTTCTCAAGATATAAAAACCCTATTTAGATTTCTATCTCCATGGAAGACGCTTGCATGTAGTTTTCAAGCGATAATAATGATTGCGTGGTGAACATGAGGTGGGACCTGGTTGGTAGTTGGGGTTGGTACCAACCTGGTACCAAGGAAGAAACTTCGGCCTTCAAAAATCAATATATTGTCTAGTCAGACTTTCTCATCTCAGGATGGTAAGAATTGTTCCAAAAATGGTTAAGATCTTGATCCTTGGTCTCATTCGATACTACATATCGATTGGTTGATCGTTGGATCACTTGATTGGTTGTCCCACTTCAGTCATATCGACGAAGGGAGAGCCGGGTGCGATGAAGCGATGAAGCGTACGCTCAAGAACTAGTTCACTTACCGACTTATTGGCTACTCGCTTTAGCTACTAGCTCAAACTATACCGCACGTGCAACAGTATACCAGACTAGTTACAGAAATCAATTTTGTAGTTTGAAACTTGTTGGCCAATACCGATTGGTTCACTAATATCCTGAACTCTGTGGTCCACGACGCAGCCGGAGTACGACTACACACTGCACCTCGTATTACGAAACTGGCGAATTTATTCTCATCCTCCACCAGTGAGAATCGTTCTCTCTCTTTCTCTCTGCTTACTTCATCGCTATTTTCATGTTTGCATTTACCGTGCCTCTTTGGTAAAATGTCCTCCAGCGGTCCTCTTGACATTTGCGATTTTTTCCCCAGCTGTATCCATTCATTACGTATGTTGAGTTCATCTCTGTTTGTAAGCATCCCATTTTTTTCATGTCTTCTGAGTTGTAACGAGGATCCTTGTTTTAATATTTTTCATGAGGAACGATTACTTTTGTCCTGTACTTCTGATGGAATTAGGCTGTATTGTAGAAGTCCCTCCATTACGCTCACTGGAGCACCTCAGATATGGACCACCGAGAATATTCGGATGAGATATCGCCAAGGGCATTCTCAGCCTTGTTAAATTACCATGGCTATCCAAATCCAAACTGTATCGTTGTATAATTTGTCACGATTCCATGTGGCAGACAGCTGGCTAAGATTTCAAAGTACTAATATATCATAGATTAGTATGACAAATAATAATTATACTATTAAAGCCAATAATTAATCAAACTAATCTAATCTGTACATTAATACAATATATTCTTACCCAGGCAGATGAGCTCCATATCCCTGCCTAAAGAAGCGTCTCCTCTGCTCCTGAGTGATGGGCTCGAAGACCATCCTTCACCACATTAGACCAACACCCTTGTACCTGATGAACACCTGGTACCTTACGATCGCTTCCTCTGGAGAATCCTCTCATCGATTGACACCCGCGCTCTCTCGAGCAAACCGCAATGCGACCGACAATGTTTGAACTTACTGGTACCCAATGAATCAAGTGCACAATCCTGATGACGCTCCTCTGGATATGGAACCACCACTAGAATTAAACGGGAACACTTCTCCAAGTGTAGTTACGCGTGGTTAGCGCGCCAATCAAACAAGACTGTAGCTATAGGTTGTTACAGTCAGAGGGAAAATATATAATGGAGCCGACGTTCTACTAACGTAGCAGTACAATGCTGAAGCCCTCCTACTTTGTGTACTCCTATAGCCACCCACTACCTCCACCATTCTTCCGTTGTACGCCGCACCTTTCTTTAAGGGGCCCGCACACCGGTACTCGACACCCAACGTCACTTATCGAGGCTCATCGAACTAGGATTATTTTAAGGTTAACGAATCTTTGGTAATACACTTTTCATAGAGTGTAGCGATTGGTATGGATTCGAGACTTCTCGAAGATGTCTCAGGCTCTTTTGAACTTCTTGCTCTTGGGATACCATCATTTTTTAGGTCTTCAGTTTTTATGTATACCAGTCCTTGACATTTCTTCATGTACTCTATGATTTTCATAGTGACGGGTCATCATTGTAATCCGAGATAAGTATTCAGCGCAAACTTCTTGGGTGACTACTGAAATCGTTGAGTTAAAAAAAAATCAATATATGAACTCAGCTGCGGCATCATTTTTATTGTAACGAGCATTGTAGATTCGGATAATTGGACAGTCGATTCGAGCTCATTTTCGTTTAGTCGTCTCGTTATTTTCATTTGGTTACTTCTCCAAAGGACCGTTTTATTCAGCGCACGCCTCCTGAATCTAATCGACAGTTTCATTAAGGCAATTTGATCCCGGCGACTGAGGACGTCGGGTCTCTTGTGTATATTATGTATAAAAGGAAGAACTGCATAATTTCCGTCAGATGGCAATAAGCATGTTTTATATTTTTTTTTAATATAATGTCATACGCTGTGCAAAAATTTAATATCCTGTCAATCCTGTTTGAGTGAATCCTGTTTGTTTTATGAAATTGAAAAGAAACATATGAGATAATTTTAAAATTCTAAAATTATAGAAGAAGTAAACTGCATTATCCGTAGTCGATATCCAGCAGTGCATTGGGCATATACATTCTACTTCAATAGCTAATAGCAATACTGTACTGCCATCTATGCAGTATATACACAATATAGATATGTGTTGCTTTTTCAATATAAAAGCACTGATAACAGACAACTTGCTGGTAGAGGATCGCGTATTTTGAAGAGGCAATTTATCTTTTTCTCCTGAACCTCTCTTTAATAGGTTTATGTTCTATTTATAACTGCATTAATATTTGCTTTTAATTAAATTTTGTGCTATAGTCTATACGACTAATACCTTGTAAAAGTAATTGTGTATACAGTATAAAAGCAATTGTGCAGATTAAGTCTGTTTATTTGGTTCTCTTGAATTTCTCTTTGATGCATTTATATTCTATTATATCTACATTAAATGAAGCAGACCTTAATACAATGACGATTTTACGCAGTTATTTATGGAACGTATTGAAGGTATCAAATTTTGTATAAAAATTGCTGTATTATATATGTGATACAGAATTTCAAATTTCGACGAGCTACTTCTCTTTCTCTTTCATATTCCCAAGTGAATCTCAAAATTGGAATGACACTAAGAAAATCCTATAGGATTTCATGCGAGGGCTTTGCCGAGTGTGTTGGGGATTTACTTGCAGCGGCGAAGGATTCAAATTTTTACTTCATTTATATTCCACGGGTTTCGCTGTCCGATTGAATTGTTGTTTCGCATGAAAATTTCGAGCATCTCGACGACGATAAAGGATTCATTTCAGTGGTATTTTCTATTTGAATTGAGACGTTCAAACCGACGCCCTCTTCGGTCTGATCCTATAAATACAGTGTCTCGTTGTATACTGCTTCAGTATGTATTGAATCCTATACAGTTTATGCGATACGAGAAGTTCTTGATCTATAAACAAATATAAAACATTGCAAGTCACGGGTTTGTATAATATTTGTAAATTAAAGGATAAAAAAGATACTGGAATAATTTGTGGAGGAAGAAAAGAGAGAGATAGAGACTACATGACTGGATACTGTTATCACGAGACACTTGAAAACTGCATCCCATGCCGATATCAAGCGAAGCAGATACTACGAAACAATAGCGAGCCCATTCAACTGTATCTTGTTTGAAATTAATAATATCGGCATTCGGACTCTCAGTGTATCATGAAATACATATGAATTTGCAAACAACAGAGAAGCGAGGGTAATACGAGATTTTTTGTATCAGACTCTTTTTTACCATGGAGGCGGCGCCGTACGAATCCCGCAGATAAGCATGACAATTTAGCTTAATTGAAATCAGTGCAGCATTCTTATGGAAATAGAGACAGCGCGGGAATTTTAAATAAATCCCACAGACCATACACAAATATCATATAAAGAGGTCCAACGTCTCTCTTTCCCCCATCATCTGCAGTGCTACCAAACTTTGAAAATCAAATTAATTCAGCAGGGTATTTGAATGAAACCCTGAAAATCGAGATACGTATACTTCAATGGGATGTGGTATACAGTTCGGAGTTAGATTCAGTAGAATGTGACATGACGAGCTGAGTTGGTAACTCCCATACGGTTCAATTGTAATATAGATTGAAGTGAATTATACCCCGTGGCTTAATTATTTGTAGACTCCTCTATATATTATCTCTATGTCTATCTGACCAACTCTCACTAATATAAAGTACATCCAAGAGAAGCACAGTGGGAGTGTGAACTGCTGAGGGACAATAACACTCTGAAGTTTCGTATTGATAGACACAAGTGTATAAACGTGTATCCTCTCATCTTAGTTCTTCAGTTACGAAGATCAACGGAATGCTTTCCTAAGGCAATTCAGAAAGACACGACGAGTGCCTCCTCTTGAGTAGATTATCTTTATGATTTTCGGTCTCTTCTCGTACCTTCATAATGCCACGTACATTAAATTGTGATGATACATACCAGGTTATACAGTCCAAGCGCACCACCTGAACATTGTTTTACCATGAGATTCAAAATGGCGCGCTAACTTCAGCTGGTGCGTTTCTACTGAATAACTGTATATAGGTATATATGCATAGTTTGAATACAGGTATTCTCCAGCGATAAGAATTCTCTTTGAAAATTTATGATGGAGAATCATTTGTCAAATATTTTTTACTGACATGGTTATTACACGTGACGTTCCAACTAACGTGACCTTTGACTTCACGTAGGAGGCTAGAATTGTATGATCTTTTACTGTGACATTAACCAAATGCCGGGACTTCCTCTCATCCATTCTGACACATAAATTGCTAGTCCCTGCTTTGCCTCTTTTGTCAGCTTGACGTATTGCCTTCTACGTCTGTCCATTTGACGCGGACTCCCTTCGACGACATCTTCCTAAATGTTCCCTCCGTTCTTGTTGTTTCGCCATTACGTCACTTCTCTTAACACGTCGATGTCTCTTACCTTTCCGTCTGAGTGACACTTCTTTGTGAAAAAGCTCATTCCGTCCTTTCGTCCTCTAATGATCTGGAGTGTCTGACGTAGTTCAAACGTGACAGTCAAACATCCGGAAGGATTTGGATTTCCCGTAAAAACCTGATAAGAAAAAAAGTTCTTAAGGACCTTAGAGTTCAACACATTCTTTAGACTCGCCAGCAGGCAGTGGGTGTACGATGGGAGAGTATGAAATCAAAGTAGCAGATGCGAAAAACGAATAGAGGTATCATATTGTGGGAGATGGGAAAAAAAGTTCCTCGTCAAAGTTGTCAAGTCGAACGAGGGAGCAAGTCTGTCGCACGGGTACATAATAAAGAAGAACTTTTTCTAGAGGGATCAAAAAGGCGAATTCTAAAGACGACGTGACTTATATTAATAGACGGCGAGAAATGTATCGCTGTGATTATCAGACGAATGATCGGAATTTAGACGAGTGCACATTGTAGTGGCAGTGACACCAGTTCTGGTGAGATTCGGGAAATAAATTATTTAGGCTATTAATAGCAATGCTAAGTCTTGGCAGAATTGTTGTAGTTGCTGGTAGAATTTTTAATTCGAATTTTCACTTTTTGCACTGGTTATCGCAAATATATAGTTTTCAGCATATTCCTAGTTCAGCCTTTTCAGCCTAGTCCTATTTCAGTATAAAACTGACGATACGTGTAATAAACGATTGAACGCGAGGGAGGCTCTTATCGAGACATCTTATCGTACTGACGAATGGGTATAGGCAACGCGATCAAACGAAGTCATCGATCGTTACTTTTGTATAAGATATTCGAGAAACGATGTGAACTCATATAAAAGTCAATTTGGGCTTGTTCGTCGCGTTAAGGCTCACCTCATCTGCATGCTTTTGATCCCAGTGATCATCCGGCTTCGCTTTTGTCTTCCTCAGGAATTTACTTAAGTCCATCCGTCCTTTTAGGAATGTTTGAGCGAACCTCCATAATCCCATTAGAGGCATGTAAACGAGCTTATACGCTGACCCAGTAAATCCAATCAGAGAATATAGCTTTTGGTATTTTAGATTAGACGAAGGATTTACTGCGAGTTCTCGAAATCGCTGGGTCACTTGTTGCTGCACTTTTTATTTACGTACGAATTAAATCGAGGAAAAATGGAATCTGAGAATTTTATAAAATCTTTTCAGACAGTTCTCAAGTTTATCTTCACATTGATCCACATGAATTGGCATAGACAATAAATCGGTAAGGTGCAGTAATATTGATACAGGCTCTTTAAAAACTCAACGCGTGCTCATTGACAGTTTATGTTAACCCTTGCAGTAGATTTTTTTTAGTTTTCAGTTGAAGATCCCTATTGAACTCTTCTGCCTTTTGGATCCCTTCGAAATGTCTCTTTTTTTCCGAGTGTAAGTTTACGCCCTCGAGCAACAGTTAAGGACATTAAGTCTCAATGCTGAATTCGTTTGCATGAAGATGCATCTCTTGACGTGCCCAGTCGATGCGCTTAGCTCGGAATTTGCATGAAGATTTGCATTGGAACTATTCAAGTCTGCCAGAAGTAGCTGTACGTGGAATACGCCACCAGGAATATCTTTTATCGGTCCGAGAAGAGTCGTAAAGAGCACGCAGTTGAGTATAGGATATATATAGGAAAGCGCAGCGATGGGGAGAGCATTGGCACGTAAAAAATGATTTCCCCTCAGGATGATGGATTCGTTTTGCGATGCAAATGCTGGAATCGCGAATCGACAGGAGGGTTTTCGCCAAAGGATTTCAATCTCCAATTCAAAAGCATGGTATGCCGAAAAAATATTAAATTTTGTTGGAAAAAGTTTAACCACTGTATGGCCACCGTAATATTGTACATAAAATTTTTCTTCTGATGTTACGGCACTAAGCTTTCATTCCCTTTTCCTCTTTCTTTCCCCTTTTCCTCGTATCTATCTCTCCTCTTATCTCTTTATTATTCAATGCCCGTCAAATCGATACTAATCGATACTCTTCGATTCTTGGCAACTTCTTTTTTTTCCTTAAGTAGCTTTACCTTGCTTTAATGTTTGTTCTCGTCCTTTCTCAGTAGTTATCGACTATTTCCCTTTTAGCCCTTTCGATACCGTCATTTATTTATTTACGTTTCTCAGCCGTTCTTTGTCTTTGATGATAAAATTATTAAAAGCAATTGTATGAAGACCTGCGATTCGTGTCACGAGGCCTATCGACATTATTCCATGGACGAATGGGGTAAGGGTTGTAAAAGAGTTGGTTAAAGGGGCAAAGAATACGAAAAAGTGAGAAAATAATATCTCCAACAAATCTTGGAGAATTCAACTTCATTCGTTCTGGTGACTATCCGATATTTTTTTTTATTTTTTAATTTTCTTTCAAACCGACCACCTTCTGTCTTACTCTGTCTCCAAGGAGAGAACCCGGTGAATTCAATTTTCTCTGGTTCTATGCTCTAAATTATACTACGAGAAAAATAAGTCCATTAGCAGTAATTTTTTTTTTCAAGATTCCACCGGGAGACTAAAAAGGAATTTCGATTAGAAGAGCGGAAACAAGGAATTTAGTCTTACTTCAAGAAAAAGAGGAAAAAATGAAAGAGGAGGAAGTGCCATAAGAAAATCATCGGGACTGCCAAGCATTGAAAAAATGTGATTTCCGGGGCGAATTCCAGATATTGAAATGAGGGCGAAGACGCTGGTAACAATTACAATGGAAATCCTCATAATAAAACATATTGAATTACGACGGCAACTGGTGCAAGTATATATCACGAGGTAGACGTTTCTCCAAAATAAATATACCAATATGCAACCCGCATCCTTTTTCAGGGACATTCATCAGAATGTTTTCCCAGTGCTCCTAGTGAAGAATGAATTTCACAGATTCATTGTCAGTGGTCCATTTTAAAAAATCTTTTAGCGAAGGAATTTAAATACGATCCAAATGAGTTTGGCCTTTGATTTTCAATTGCTGAAAAGCAGATTGTGGTTACTCCCTTCAGTTAAGTCCTAAAACCGAAAAATCAGAGTGTACCAATCATTTATTTGCATTAATTATAACGTAATGAAGAGAATAAATTATAATTAACCAATCTTCTATACGTAATGTTTATAACCATTTAAATGTAATTTATTTAGAAGGTTCAAAATCTACTCCTCCTTTTCCACCCTTAGGTAGACCGAACCTCTCCACTATTCCGTGTACGGCAATTTTAGAGGTCTACCCCTTTAACCAAGCGAAATTGACGATAATCTCCCAGCGATTAAGGTTGCCGTGGATATCAGGAAAGCAAGAAACGTACTCGAGGTTGGCTTACGTAATGTCAAGAATAAAAGATTTAATTTAACAGTGAAAAATATTAAGAGAGGTTGATAATTTACATAAATGAGGATGAAGAAAAAACATCTGAATCTGATAATAAACCAGTAATTAAAAAATGTCGTTTCACTATTTACGTTACCAGATGACAGCTGTCAGCAATGAAACAAACGTTTTTAATTGAAAATTTTCTCACTCTACTTCCAATCATATTTTTCTCATTTCACTGATGCTTTAGCCGTGTAACCGTTTCTGCCATTTCGGTAGTATCGGAGTGGACGCTGACAGAGCTTACTTGCTCTATAAGTATATATATTATCTATAAACGACTAAGCTTTATCCACCTATCGTGAAAATAATAAGTATTATCTTACCAAGGATTTCCGGCGACGGTCCAACAAGAGCTTCCATTGGTACGGAGAACGTAAGAACGGATACTCGGTAAATATATTTCCCAAATTTTACGAGGTTAATTAATTTCGAGCTAGGGAGACGACGTCGTCTCAATAGCGGAAAGTGCTAATTTTAAGTCTACTGGGTATAGAGATGGATGGGCTTACGGATAGCCAGGAATTCATCCCCGTGGAATGCATTGAACGAAGGCCTTCGCGATAGAACAGAGATGAAGGATGTTCTGTTTACGATAGAGAAACTCCATGGAAACTGCCGGCTTTGTCGGCTGGTTAAAACGTCGTTAAATGGACGATCAAACTCCGGCGACCTCCTCTACCCAGAACATCCACAGGAACGAATCTCCCTAGTAACGTAATAAAGATTTCTACAATACAAGAGTAATTCAGTACGTAATGAAAAGGCAGTCAACGTAATATGCAGATTAGTCGACATAAGGCCTGTTTACAATGTTAAAAGTATTCAGGTCTTTAATTATCTATCTAACGGGATAACCTGAGTATGTAATATAGTAACAAAAAATTCTAAGGCATGAAGAAATTAATCAAAATCGCCTCTAGCAACCCTATTGGCCTTCGTCGTCTCTTGGGCTTATACCCAGGATAAAGCTGACGTCTCGTAAGGGGAATCATAGGGCTTTAACCAGCCACATGTCTTGATATACCACACTCAGAAGTCTGGAGTGTATCATAAGGCTTGCTTTCAAAGAATTCACTGGTTCTCGAGATTCCGAAGCCAAGGCCTGTACGTTATTTCTCGAACATAAAAGAAAGAAGATCCAGCTTTACTAAGAAATTTTGCTGAAAGATAAGGATAATCAAACAATTCATCAAGTCCATGTACATCAATTTATTAAATTTTTTCGATAAGGGATACAGGCAAGACTCAAGGGGCACGCATATGATAATCCATATTCCCGTACGTATGAATAAGATTTTCGAGGTCGCTGAGGTCGAATGGGGCTCAGGAGATCACAGCGACGACGAAAGCCTATAAAATTTTGCGTTACGATCAAATTATACTTATAAGACAGATTGAAGCGTGTTTGCCGTATACAGGACGAGTAAAACGTTGATTAGGTAGATGGGCAACGCGTGCTTTCGAAAATGACTTATTAGCGTGGCCATCTATCGAGAGTTTGCGTAAACCTATTCTCGTCTTCTCGTTGCGTCATCGACCTAGCGTCATATTTGAATTATTAAATAAATTTGGACTAAATGCACGAGGTTGACCCGTGGACCGTAAAGAGAGCATATTAATCGCTCCAAACCTAGGTCGTCTTCGTATTCACTACACAAGCGGCACGTGTCTATTTATTAAAACATACATAGATTCAGTCATTGATCCTTATACGTTCGTTCGTTCGCTCATTTATAATATATTGATACAACATAAGTTTATTACCTGGCATCATCTACCAATCTCATACCACACCAAGTTCTTTGATGTCTTCGCAAAACGGAATTGACTGGCTACCTTTCATCGACCTGTGACCCCAGGTATATATCGATGCTACCTTCCTTAATATTAATAGAAATCTTGAAAACTCCAGAAGCATCACTTTTGAAATATAGAGTATACATTGTCCGTTCTGCGAGTTTCATCTCAATATCCTTCAGAATTTCTGTACAGTATTCAAGACTGTAAAGTAACTCGCTTGCATCGAATAGGTGCCGGATCGTATATTGATCCGAAGCTTAGAGACTTTTTGTCAAAGTAGGTATATCCAGGTATCAGTTCCATACAGTAGAATTACAATGCTCCTTGCTGGATATCATAGCTCATGGATCCTCAGCAGGAGAGAAGGAGCTTAAGCTTGAGATTATTATTTATCAAGTTGCCATTGTAGACGTATGAAGCTCTCCTTGTTACAGGGTATACGATGCGGGATGCTGTAAGTACAGATAGGGACCATTGAACGGAGGAATACTATACGAGCTTCTTGGCTTTCGAAAAGCTAAAGCAGATCTGTCACTGCGTTACATGATGACAGTCAGATCTGGGATGACAACAGCAACAAACAGCAACAAAAGTAGAAACGAAGACGTGTTCTCTCGGTCTTCATTTATTCACTGAACTCCATCGAGAACCGGATGCCTTTTTTGTTCCTCTGCCGCTTCGCTCGATCTGTAAATCAGAGGGAAAAATATTCACAACGGTCTCGTGATAGCGACACTTTTATCAGTAACCTGCAGTCACTGAATTAAAACCTGAAGTTAAGTCTATTAAGCTTTAGCAGCCTGTGAAAAACCTCCTGTGGAAGTCACCCTCTGTCTGCCCACCTGTCAGCTTCATTCGTATCGTCTGTTAGCGAGTCTACGTTTCTGATAACCAAAAGTTACACAATTAATTTTGATCGATAATTTTATTTATTAGTGTCACTATAGGCAACACGATATAGTCTAGTCTATAGTCGCTGTCAAAAACTGTCAACGGTATCCATAAAGATGTCATATGCGTTTTTAATTTTAAAAAAAAATCGATTTTTTAACATATTTTCAAAGATATATTTTTTGAGAATATTGTAGGACATATTAAAATTACAAATTCAAATTATTATCGAAGTTACAGACTTTCCAGCAAAATAATGGAACGAACCATCTAGACAGGTTGAGTCATTCTCATCGTTTCGACCTCGCTAAAAAAGACGCTACGGAGCATACGTAATGTCTCAGCATGTAATAATTTATTTAAACCATTTTTTTAAGCATGACTCACGTACCTTAAAATAAACAAAATTTATTAATTGGGACCAATAACTGTCATCTCAAAAATTTGTTGAATATTTATCATTTCTCAGAAAGACAAACGTACGTAACTCCTTAACCCAGAAGTAGGTGCTTGAGGGGTCTAAGACTTAGACACCAATTCCATGCTTTTCAGACGAAGAACAAAATCTGGCAACTATTTCCAAGTTAATACTGCTTTAGTATGTTGATAATCCTCCGGAGCTTTTCCAAGCTTTATCGCTTCTGTGATACACACACGTATATCTATACAGTATATGAGACTCTCCAGGTGAACAAATCTGCGTATCGCTTGCAGGTAAACTTTTTACAACACTCACTCTTTAACCAGGGATTGATTACTTAACGCCAGGCTCGCATGACAACGTGAGCGGCATTGCCATTAACAGTAGCACACATGTCAGGGTTAATGTTTCCATGAAAATCTGACCGAGACAGGTTCCTTTTGAATACATCGGGTTACGAAATTTTCGGATTCAACCCTCTGTCAAATATTTAGCAACTGACAGGCACAGTATAACGTGCAATTTGCCAAATGAATTAATGGCAGATTTATCGTTTGTCTTGTCGTTAGAAAATTTTAAATGAATCCTTTCACCGTCTAGTCCCGAAATTAATCTTGGTAATTTCAAAGGCAACATACCAATTATTATACGTTTGCCCCTTTGCTTACCCTCAATAAAACCCATCCAACGAACCATGACGCGTCGTTTCTACCGTGAAACATCCCTTGCGTATTTCTTTTGTCTTCCCCGAGAAATTTAGCGTTAAATTCACTGCCTCGCGGTACAAGACTCGCTCGGTACCCGGCACGACCCTCTACTTACTTTCTACTCTCTTGCTATCGGTCTTTTTTGGTTTTCGGTAAAAGGGCTTTTGCGCTCTTTATCCGGCAGGCAAAACAGAGACACCGGTATGTACTGTAGGCTGAAAAGGGACAGAGAGCTGGGGACAAACGCGACGGGAAAAGAGAGGCAAGCAGAGCGTTCAACGAGTTCAGAGAGAACGCGCAGTTAATTATTAGAATTATTCCTGTTCCAGAAATAGGAGTTATGCCTGACAAGTCTCACGGACACCAAGCGCCGTGAATTTCTTTCACCTCGCTTGCTCGTTAAGCGTCATAATATTTCATTAATGGACGCTGCTCTCGCACGGGTGAGCACAATAAGAGAAATACTCCTGAAAGTGCTAATACCACGAGTTTAACGTCTTCGCATTGAAACCTGATGTCTTCGGGTACGCGATGTCTGAGGTGGTTCTTCCTTGTTTGTCCAGGACCATTTTACTCCGTGTGATGCTGCGGTCTGGCGAATTTACTGTTTGCGTATTCAACCTCTACGTACACGTGTCTCTCGTATATGTGAACTGGAAATAGACTGATTGTAAGATGCTTTAACCCTTTGATCTACGTACCACCTTGCACTTTCAATTTCATTAGGCAAGCTTCTCTATCGTAACGTTTTCATTCCTTGATATCTCCCTACATACGAAGCTCCGAATTATCTAACCGAATTAAACCGATACTCTGCCTTCTATCTTTCCTCTATATATAATCTCTCGTAATTATCTTGTTCCCTTAATTTGACTTGAGCAGCCCCTTCCCTAGGAGATAATTATTATAAACCCCATAATAAATCATTAACGAAGCCCTTTTGTTACTCGGTAGGCTTAACTATAATTATTCTATTCTTACGCCGCATTCATATTTTTCGTATCAAGTAGACTTTGATTTGACGGATATCAAAACATGACTATGATGCTTCAGAATATTCTACGAGTGATATAGGCAGTTTTGGATTTCTATTAAAAATATTAACTTATTGTTAGTCGTGTATGTCTATGACCGGAGCTAAGTGTAACCTCAAAAAACCCCAAAAGTGTAGTCGCCAAGTACAGGATTGTTTTGAATTGCTCAAAAAAAAAATCACTGTTACATTACGGTGTTGCATGCAAAAAGGATTGTAATCATACCATAATGCCAAGTACATAAGTCACTTGATATCTGCTTTTTATTGTAAGATCTTGCAGTAGCTCATCCTTTCATTTGTATTTGCAGAGTTTTGCTTTGACGTCTTCACAATATTCTTTTATGATATTACTGCTGCTTATACTCAAGTGTATATGGCTATAGCTCGAGGTAAGTACAATATATTATATTGATATTCGAAATTGTTTAAAAAATATCGTCGCGATTAGAGTGTACCTTGAGGATCTTATTTTTATCTCGTAATAAAAAAGAATCAAGGGTAGTGCTGTAAGTAGCGATATCGCACGTCCCGCGTACTGAATTGTTTGCAAGGTGTAAAGAATGCCGGTAGTTGTCCGAGGAAGGCAAAGAGAAAAAATTAAGTAGAGTAAAAAAAGGAAGTGCGATTATATCGGCATCGCTGTTAGGAAGTCGCTCACTTTTTACCGTGTTAATTGAGTCAATATTCGCTTGACAAACGGAAAGACGCATCAATCATTCTTGCGAGTGTATTTATTCCGGTGCAAACACATCGTCTAGAATTATGAAGATATGTATATGACCCTCGTTATATATTGAGAAAATAGGGATGAGCGATTATGGTCGTTTGTATTGCCGCGCCTTTCGCCTTATGTAACGTCCACGTGATATATGGAAATGAGATGAGAATAATATCCCATTTGTTATTACCGCCCTGTTTAAACAAACGAAGAGAGACTTAAATTACATCGAGGCAGTTACTTATGGAGCAATTCGTTATAAGGTTATTGTGAATTATTGGCAAAGTTTAAGAAAAAAAATTTTTCCCGCCAACTGTCTATGTATACATATATTCCCATTCAACAAAGTACTTTCGGCCATCAAATGCTCGCTTGATTACCCATTCAGACCAGTGCGCGATATAAAATTCGTAAATATCCCGGTGGGAGAATCAATTGAAAATTAGTGGGTACGATCAGCCAATGAAAAGCACAACGATGCGGATCGTAGCGGACACGCTTTATTATCGGTCTATATTCTCCACCATTTTTATAGGATTTAGAAAAAGCCTTGAAGGATTATTAGTTTGGGAGATGATCAGCTGACGAAGGGCATTCATTCGGGGATTCCCCGAAGGATTGATTTAGAATTCTAGACGATTTCTCCACTTTTTCTTTTAAATAGATTATACTGTATATAAACAAATTAAAAGTATGTTTTGGGAACCGAGCATATAATAGGGCATTCACACATGGAAGCTAATAATATTTAATAAAACAGAACCCGAGGTGCCTAACATTGGAATTCTAACCTAAACCCAAACTAATCATATGTATGACTAACCAAGTTCATTTAAACACCGGAAGTTCAGCATTAGAAAAAAATATATAAAAAATTCAGTATGGTCGTCGCTTTATGATCCTCAGAGTATAAATTAAATATATACAATTTTTAGTAAGATTTGGCAAGTCTGAAATGTACCCATAATGTACGTTCACTTGAAAAATTGTATTCTTTAAACTTCAAACCGAAATAACTTGAAAACTATTTATCTTACAATATTTTTGATAAGAGGCTCTCCTTCGTTTTGCCATTCCCGAGTATGCTGGTGCCGGAAATAGTATAAATTTTGAATCACTCAGTATACGTAAAGGAATAAAAATATATACATAGACGTACAATGATATACGTCGACCACGATAAAACATGCTGCTATCTTTTTAACAACTTTGCATATCGACTTCTTTCTTTTTCCCACAGAATCCACTAACCTCTAATCCTTATAGAATGCCCGTTAACCAATATCTTAGAGTCCTGGAACTTTTGGACGTGTCGACAGCTGGCAGCCGCGACTTCCGAGCCTTAATGCAAAATCGATAGGCATTTACCGGGTATCCATCAGGTGACACTGGCCGCAGATAAGGGAACAGAGGTAACTACTCTTTTGGTTGATCTACGTTCGATTTACACAAAGGTTAGGTTAGGTTGCTACTAATTCCGAAGGACGGTTGAATTCAAACCTACGCACCCTATCTATCTATTCTATGCTTCCGAGTGTCCTTTTAACCGTCATCTGTTATCCGTTTCACGGCCACCATTTGACATAGAATAATATTCCAGGTGTCGTTGCAAAATTACGATCCGGTTCGACCTGTCCTGACCTCCTTGCTCTACCACCATTCGTTTCCTAGGAGCGTTAGAGCCCGCTTTACGATGGCTCGTAAAATCTTTTCTTTTCAGCAGGAGTCGTGTGTTCCAGGGCGCAGGAACACCCTGTATTACGTTTGATACGTTTGCAGGCTTGCTTATGCCTAGTTGTGTTAGAGAAAATGTCAATATCGATGCCGTCGAACGTGAAAGCAATTCCGACGTCGCTCCCATCTTTCTAGGAGATGATTGAAAGTGAGAACTCTTAGTACGCTGAAAGTAAGAAA